CTTACTGTGATTTGACTCTTGATATATTCTATAGATTTCTGAGCATTTTTGTGGCATGGCTTTTTTACTGTAGGAAGCCTCTGCTGCCTACGTGAGGTTGTGTTCTGCAGAGATATTATGTTGGATTCTGTTCAACGCCTGTGGATCTCCACAAGCCAGGGATCATTTTTGTTCATTTTTTGGCTCGCACATTCCCGGAGCAGTCGGGTAGAAAACATTCTAACCCTCAGGACAGCTGCAGTGACGAATCCTCAGGGCAGAGTGCTTTACTGGATTTTACACGCGCAGTGCTGCTCTTGCTGGGCATCATTGTTGCTGCTGTGGCTCTTTGTTAGTTTCTTGGGTGGAGGAGGCACCTTAGCAAAAAAGCTTTTAAAACAAGATTTGAAATAACTTTATTTTGAGCAAAAGATATTCCTGGTTTTCTTGCTCTGTTGTTGCTATGTCATGTGGTGCCCGCCAGTTAGAGCTAAACTGTCAGTTTTGCTGTTTCTAGGCAGAAAAATGCTCAAATCACAAGTAAATATCTAGGCGTCCCAGGAGGTGACTCTGGTAGTGTTTTCATTGCTCATTTCCACTCTTAAAGGTACAATTCTCCTGATGTTTTAACATTTTCTAGGGTGCCATCCTGTATGTTAAATCCAAAATTGATGATTTCTTCTCAAAGGCAGTGTTAACATAATTGACACAGTTTAGATACATTATAAAAAAGTATTGAAATCTATTCAACATTGTTCATTAAGCTTCTGTTAGGGTCATAAAATATCTTGTCATGTCTGATTAATTCAAGTAAGTTCAGTTTTTAAACGACACTGCTGTTCTACAATGTGCTATTTATTGTTAAAGCCTAGAATTTATAAGTGTTTCCAATAACTGAAAGAGACTGGGTGTTTTACTAAGATATCTATTACAATTATCATAAATTAAGACTGTGGGCCGATTTTATGAAATCTATAAAATATAGAAATGATAGGAAGTAAAAATGAATTTAATGTAGTTCTAGCCTTCATTTTGTCTAAAAGTCAATGTTCAGTGAAAACATTGCTGTTTTTCTCTTCTGCAAACCTGAAGCAAGCACTGCTAGAAACGTGATTTTCTACAGAATTGACAGATTGGTAAGATGATACATGACTGAAGTAATATCATTCATCTGTTTAACGTTTATAGCCTGGGAACATGTCTTATAATATGGCCAAATGCCTATGTATTTCAATACGCTCCCAAAGATAAGAGACTTTAAGCTCCTATGTTCACAAAGGAGTATTGTCTGTAAATTACATCTCAATAAGTTTAATATTTATAAAATAGGAGGAGAGAAGACTAGCACTAGTTGAATAAGAGAAAAACAGTAAGCTTGTACAATCTACAAATGCATCTGTGAAAAGGTAGGTTAAAGTAGAAACCATTCTCCGCCTCCTTGAGACTGACTAAAGGCCTAGAACAGTACAAATCCACTGGGTGAAGACAGGAAAGAAGCTCAGGCTTCTGGCTCCCTCCCTCATATTACCCCAGAGAAACAATGGAAGGAAGAAGGAAACACTTGGCCCTCAGGCTACACAACAACCACCCTGGTTGCAAGATAACAACAGAGTATTCTTTCCCAAATATGAAGGAAAAGAACTTGAGCCTAGAATTTTTTATCCAGTCAAATTCTCATTTAAATAGGAAGGTATCTTTTCTGTTGCAGTGATAACAAATTGCCACCCACATACTTACCTGCTTAAATCAGTACATCTTTATTATTTCACAGTCCTCTAGGTCACAAGCCTGAGATGGCTTGATTGGTTTCTCTGCTCCCAGTCCTCAAGGTCAAGGTCAAGGTGTCCACCAGCTGGGCTCTGATTGGGAGGTGCTGGGAAGCATTTGTGCATTCATGTTGCTGGCAGAATCCAGTCCTTGGACCTGTGGGACTGAGGTCCCAGCTTCCCTGCTGGCTGTCAGCTGCAGCCCTTCCCTAACTCCTAGAGGCCCCTCTCCAGTCTTGCTCATGGTCCCCACATCTCAGAGTCAGCAACAGTGCATGGAATCCTTCTCATGCTTAGAATCTCTCTGACATTGGACGCATCTTTCTTGGCTCCAGCCTGAGAAAATTTTCTGCTTTTTAGAGCTCATGTGATGGCACTGGGCCCACTCAGAGAACCCAGGAAAATCTATTTTAAGGTCAACTGATTAGCAGCTTTAATTATGACTGTGCAGAGCCTAGACTAGCGTTGCCTAAACTCACAGTACCTAGACTAGCGGTGCCTAGACTAGGAGCAGCTGATTTCTCTAGGCCCCTCACCCCTTATTCTTTCCATCCCCTTCTTCCTGGCCCCCTTTCCTTTCCCATTTCCATTCCCACTTTCACACACATTCTTTCTTTGCTTAAAATACTGGATTTTCCTGCCCCTGGTGTGCTTCAGGCTCAATCAAACAGGCTAAGGCAGCAGCTAGTTGTCCTATCATCAGTGTTTTCTAGAACATATTGTTCTAGAAAAGGTATAGGAAACTTGAAGGGGCAGCTACCAAGTCCTGCCCACCACAGTGTTTTAGAAATATTCGAAACAGAGAAAACCTGAAGGATATTTGCTTCCTAAAAACCAAGTTGGAAATAGTTTAGAGGAAGGTACCTCAATAGCAAGAGAAACACAGGAGATGTGATAAGAGAACCGAGGAGGACAAGTGACCAAAGAATCTGTTCCAGATTACTGTTATCTCACAACAAGGGAAATGTGAAGTTAGAATTACAGAAAGAAGTGTAGCTAAGAGTAACCGAGAATTACAGCTAGGAAAGATATCAGGAAAATCGGGCTGGAGGTGGCACGCAAAAGGAATAGGAAAACATGCTGATACTTCTAAAATTAGGAATAAAATGAAACCATTAATACCAATAAATGTGATACATATTGGTATGAGTCATAGGTTAAGGACGGCCACCCTGAGAAGAAAACTAGAATGTATAGCTTTCAAACCAACCAGAGAAAACCTCAGTATACTAAATGGAACACAGGTATGGAGGGGATCACGAGACCAGCCTGGCCAACATAGTGAAACCCCATCTCAACTAAAAATACAAAAAAACTAGCCAGGCATGGTGGGAGGTGCCTGTAATCCTAGCTACTCAGAAGGCTGAGGCAGGAGAATCGCTTGAACCTGGCAGGCGGAGGTTGCAGCAAGCCTAGATCACGCCACTGCACACCAGCCCGGGCAACAGTATGAGACAACGTCTCAAAAAAAAAAAAAAAAAAAAGCAAGAAAAAAGACAAGATTTTCCTGGCCCTGGTGCACTCTAGGCTCAATCAAACCAGCTGAAGAAGCCGTTTGCTGTCCGTCATCACACTATGTTTTCTAGAAGATTCTATCCTGATGAAGCACTCCCAGACTGGTTGAAAACCAAAGTTACTCTTCCTTGGAAAATCTTTGTGGACACCAGGTGGAGTCTGAAATTTCCAAGTTGGTGCCAGGCGCAGTGGCTCACGCCTGTAATCCCAACACTTTGGGAGGCCGAGGCAGGCAGATCACCTGAGGCCTGGAGTTCGACACCAGCATGGCCAACATGGTGAGACCCTGTCTCTACTAAAATTGCAAAAGTTAGCCGGAGGTGGTGGTAGGCGCCTCTAATTCCAGCCACTCGGGAGGCTGAGGGAGGAGAATCGCTTGAACCCGGGTGGCAGAGATTGTAGTGAGCTGAGATCGTCCCACTGCACTCCAGTCTGGGCTACAGAGTGCGACTCTGTCTCACAAACAAACAAACAACCAAGAAAACAACAAACAAAACCCAACAACTAAAAAAGGAAAAAAGGCCAAAAAAAAAAAAAAAAAAAATTACCAACCTCCATGCTGCCACCTTCAGGCCCCTGGGGGTTACAACCTCCGCTCCAGCTCCCCTCTGCACCTGTGCTGTTCCTCAGAGCCGCTTTCACTTCCACAACTCTCATTCATTCACTGGTTCACTCAGCCTCCAACCATCCTTAAATCATGTCAGGCTCACCAGGTGATGGAGAGAAAAATCATCCTCGGTGGGTCTGAAAAACACGCCTGAGTCCTGATGGTGGGTCTTGCTTTCACTTCCACCCCCTCACAGCACCCCGAGGGCCATGAAGAGGCCACGGCCTGGGCTCAGAGCTCCAGCTGTCCTCAGGGTGGGCCTGGCATTTGCTGACTTCAGGGAGAGCGGGAGACCTCACAACTGAAAGAGGAAACCCGCCCTAGGCCCATGGATATGGGTGAACTTGGCCACAGATGAGTGTGCCGCTAAGTGAGCCCCACGCATGCGTAGACCCCTCCCTCGGCTTCTGCTCTCCATGGAAACACAATTGATCACATGATGACTGATCACGGTCGGCCACTAGGACTTTCTTTTCTTTCCTTTTTTTCCAGAAGTCATAAAGGCATGTAGAATACTCAAAGACCGCCTCAGCTTTTAGTGGAGAGGCAAAGAAGGTCCACTCCGGACTGGGAAGCGGCTGCGCCCTGGAGCGGGGCGGGGACTCTGGGCGCAGGCTGAAGGAGGGCGGGTGTCGCTGACAGAGGCGGTGACGCGGCCGCCACTGAATATCCCTGTGCAAGTTTCTTCGCTTTCCTGTGCATCAGTGCTTACACTGGGGTAATAATAAATGCTGTGTTAAAAAATTAAATGAGGCGGTCAAGAAGGAACCCTGTCCTGGCCCGCGCGGCGCCCGGGGTGGAGGGTAAGTGTTGGCTAGAGGGGGCCGCTGTCAGGCCACGAGCCCGGGGCGGCATGGGGCGCAGCATCCCCAAACAAGAGCAGGCTTAGGCTCCCCGGGTCCCCGGGGTGGGGCGGCGAAGGGCGAGACGGGGCGGGATAGGGCGGAGCAGCCCTCCAAACTTGGGCAGGCGCGGGGCGCGACTGCAGCCGGCTGCGTGGGCGGGACTGGACGGAGAGGGGCGGGGCGGGCCGGAGCATATTCAACCACTAGCAGGCATGGGAGGGTGGAAGTGATTCATCCGCTGGTCCCCACAGCGACCGCTCCTCCAGTCAGCTGCGCTCCAAGTCTACAATGGCAGTGGCCGCCAGCACTGCGATCCTTGTGTGCCTCCTGACTCTGTACCTGCTATCCGACTGGTCCGGGACGGGGCGGGCCGGTAAGTTTGGGGATGGAGCCTCAGCGGGGCAGGGGCCAAACCTGGGGGGCTGTGGACTGCAGCGCGTTTCAGAGGAGGGAAGGCTTCTAGAAGGACCGGCGCGATCTCCCCGGTCTGCCCCCTCGCTCAGTTCCCATTCGCTGCTCTTTTTCGCCAGGTCCGCTTCCTGAGGCTGCTGCTTGCCCCGCAGGGCAGGAGGGGGGTCAAAGAAGGCGAAAAAGGAACCGCAGGAGGGTGGAGGGGCCAAAAAGCTGCAGAGGGCTAGGTGGGAAGGGGATCCCTTGGTGGAGCCCCGCAGCCCCACTCGCCCTCGGGAAGGAGAAACCAGAGCCCCTGGAACTCGAGCTGGGGTCAAGACAGGGGTGAAGGGGGGTTCCACAGAGACGCGATCACTGACACCCCAATCAGCCACAGGTCTCTCTGCTCTTACCGGCTCTCTACCACACAAACCCTCCAGCATCCCCAGGGCTCCATGCCCTGGAACTTCCCCCTGTGCTTTGCTGCAGACACTCAACTGCCCTCAGCAGCTCAGCAGACACTTCCTACTCCTCCCCTCACCATTCACTTCCACTACTCAGGACGCATCCTTTCACTCCCCATCTCAGCCCAGCCCTGTCACCCCACAGGCCTCCCTCACCTCCCCATCCAAGAAGGGGCCCTTAGCACCTCCTCCACCAAATAACACCTTCACCCCCTTTGCCTGATCACACACCCCAGCGGACACACCCCAGCAAACACACCCCATGCTTTCCACAAAACCTAATGCAGGGGGGATGGGAAGTACCATGTCCCCCAGGATGACCCTGGGAGCGCCCGTGAGTAGAGGCGCCCACTACTGCCCTTGGATCCCAGACCCGCCTGTTCTTCCTACTGGGGAGTCAGCGTCATATAGAGTAGTCACTAAGCAGACAGGTATCAGCAAACGCTTTCTAGAAAGGAAAAGCTGAAGGCACTTTGGTCCTTGCTGGCCATGGGTACTCTGTGTGTCAAGTCCTGTCCCTTTGTAGAGGAACAGCAGGCAATGGCAACTTGCAAATAAAAGGGAGACCAGATGTGGACACCATCCTAGGTTGCTGACCCCAGATGAGGGCACATGCTGTGTCCTGGCAATTGCTGCCCCATCCCCTAGGGTGTCATCTCCAAGTGGTGTAAGTTGAAGAGTCACAGGTGTGTCCGACCCTGCCTGTGGCTTCTGGGTGGTGTGGATGTGATGGATATGAGTGGAGGTTCTATGGTTCGGGGCCAATGCTCCCCTGCTTTGCTGCTGAGTGGCATCATCGGTCCCTTGGGGCGATCAGGGACCCTCCCTGAAGCCTCAGGTGTGAGCTGAGGGTGAGGGGTGCACCCATGTGGTATCCTGGGGATCGGGGCCAACTGCTTGTGCAGCTTCTTGGTTCCCTGTGGCCCTGCTCCGGCCCATCCCAGGAGACCCACCTGCGTCTTCTCACTGCTGGGCCTACCTTCTTAATGACCTAGAGGGTGAGGAGCCCACCGTGTGATGGGCAGCTCTGAGGCTGTGTGGTCACTGCCCTCCCATAGATGGAGGCCCATCTCCACCAGGGCCCAGGACCACAACTGGAGCCACTTTTAAGTGAGGGGATTTCATTGCTGTGAGTGGCACAGCCTTGCTTCTGAGCAGCAGGGGACCCTGTTGTGATTCCGTGGTTGGGAATAGCCATGAAATCCACATAGCACCTTTTCCAACCACACATGCCTCTGGAATCTTAGGGAGTCCAGGGTCAAATAGCCATAGTGGCAGGTCCAGCAACACTCCTCATGAGAGTGTGTATGGCTGCATCCCAGCTACCAGAGCAGCATTCAGTAGTGACAGGGGATGTCGTATGACCAGCACAACCTATAATAGTTACTACATTAACTACAAACACTAACCATTCCCGGTAGAAATCCAGGAAATGTGAAATTACCATCGAATGGGTCTATGAACCCAGCACATCCCTCTAAGCTGGACCTGACACAGGCGTCCATCTGTTACTTTGCTCCAAATGCACCTCATAAGAGGGGAGCAAGTTAATGCTTCACATCTCAGGGAAGAGCTCAGATCGCACACTGTGTCCACTAGGAGTGTCTGGGTATTTGCTGTTTCATGGTGTACAGTTACCAGAGTGAATGTCCTTCTTGCTCTGTGGGGGAGTCTGAAGGAGTCATTGCAGTTGCTGTGGGGTTGAAGGGGCCCACCAGGGGCTCTGGGCTCTCCTTCTAGTAAGGGACTCTGCATCTGAGATGTGGCTCAGATCTCAAAGCTGGGCAAAGGAGCTCAGTTATTTCCTGGGGTGGCAACTTTCAGCCTCCTGGTCATCCATCCTTGCATTTTGTCTTTGTGGTAATTATTTAAATCTAGTAGTATCCGGGTGGAGTCTCCATCTCTTTTGGATCTTGGACCCTTTTTTTCTATGGAGCATAGCTTTGTAAGACTGAGGTCCCCAGCTGGCATTGTGACTTCTCTAATTATTTCCATCATTGCACCCTCCTTCCTGCTGACAGTTGACGGCCTCCTCTTGAGATCTGTTATTTCAGGATTTTCCACCCCCATTACTACCGGGAGCCCATTTCAGGAAGAGCATCTCCTACCCCTGACCCTGGCCTTCAGCAACAGGCATCCCTGAGCTTCTTGACAGTCTGCTGCCTTCTCCTGGGGCCTTCTTTATATGCTGGGTAAACAGGAGTCTTGCAGGCTTCCCTTGAGCACAGAGGGTGGACATTGTTCTGGATTCCATACTGCAGTCACTGTGGCATGGGCACTTCTCTTAGTCTTTTGTTCCTTCCTCTACAACCTGCCATGTAAGACCTGGGTTTTCTGTTTCATGCGGTGTGGGTCATTCCTTTCTCCAAGGTTCCAAGGGCAACCTCCTAGCAGATGACCACATTCCAGGGAACTTACCATGTCTTGTTACCCATAATAAATGAACTCACCCTTATCCAATGTTGACTACATCGTACCCACTGCACCATGCTCCAACATCCTCAGGGTGCCTTCCCACACTCTCCCGCCTCCTGCAGTCCACCTGGGCTGCTCCTGAAGATCCTGCCGTCTAAGTCCTTCCTCCTGTAGCAGGCCTGCCACCTCCCTGGCAGGGTGCTGTGCTGACGGATGTGAGTATAGGTCTGGGCAGAGTGGGGAGATGGACATGTTGGCGACCCATGGTTCCTCTACAGGCAGAGACCACCATCGAGGAAGAGAAATCCATGCTCTGCTACCCCAGCCCTTCAGGAAACCCTCTTGCTGTCCCAGTGTTTGGGGTCGTTCCCCCACACCAACACTCTCCGGTGTTTTTTCTTTTTTTCCATAGATGCTCACTCTCTCTGGTATAACTTCAACATCACTCATGGACAACAGTGGTGTGAGGTCCAGGGCCAGGCTGATCAGAAGAATTTCCTCTCCTATGACTGTGGCAGTGACAAGGTCTTATCTATGGGTCACCTAGAAGAGCAGCTGGATGTCACAGATGCCTGGGGAAAACAATTGGAAATGCTGAAAGAGGTGGGGCGGAGGCTCAGAATGAAACTGGCTGACAATAAGCTGGAGGATTTCACACCCAGCGGTGAGTGGTGGAGACCAAGGACAGAAGGGAGCAGAGTGTGGGCTCAGGGGCTGCACTTTGTGTGGGGAGAATAAATTAGACATGGGACCTCCATGAAGCCCAGCAGCAAGGGCAGGACTTGGAGGAGACAACAGGACCAGATGAGAAGGGTCTCAGCGTAGGAGGATGTGGGACAGGGAAGAGAATGTGTAAAGACCAGAGCTGATCTCTTTCTGATTGGGGCAGGACCCCTCACACTGCAGGCCAGGATGTCTTGTGAGTGTGAAGTCGACGGACCCATCCGTGGATCTTGGCAGTTCAGCTTCAATGGACAGAAGTTCCTCCTCTTTGACTCAAACAACAGAAAGTGGACAGTGGTTCAGGCTGGAGCCAGGCAGATGAAAGAGAAGTGGGAGGACAGCGAACTAACCATGTTCTTCCAGAAGGTCTCGATGGGAGACTGCAAAACCTGGCTTAGGGACTTCCTGATGCACAGGAAGAAGAGGCTGGAACCCACAGGTAACTGACAGGGGAGCACTGGGAGCACCCTGGAGATGCCATCGAGTTACACCCTTGTCTGTGAGTGTCTGAGTATGGTGGGTGTGGGTGTATGGGTGTGAGTGGGTGTGAGTCTATGTGTGTGTGTGAGTGTGTCAGTGAGTGTAAGAACGTGAACCCCTCATGGGGGGGGCTCCTCCTTGGGGTGGCTGGGCTCTCCCATCCTCCTCTTCTCTCTCCCTCCTGACACCTCTTCCTCACTGCACTTGCTTTTGCTCCACTCACTGTGGATTTCTCGCCAGCCTCGAAACTGTAGGTGTCATTGTGTTTCTGGGCCTTTCTCTTTAGATTTCCCTCCACCTAGGATTACTTTTCCTTTCCTCTCCCTTGGTCTCTTTCTAGAAATCCATCAAAACCACCTCAAATGCCAGCCCCGAGACTCTCCTGTCCCTGACCCTGGGGCATCACCTCCTCTTCCACCAGAGCAGGAGGGTGCACTGTGCTGTCACCTTGCTTCCCTCAGCAGCTATGTGAGCTCCCTGAGGACAGGGACACCCCCTCTCCCTTCCTACCCCAGGAACTGTCACAGCGGCTGCCCCATAGCAGGGGAGACAAATCCTCTGCCTTCCAGGATGACCTGGGGCAGCAGGAGCTGAGGAGGCATCTCAGATTTGGGGCGTGGACAAGGGCTGTCACTCCTGTGTTTCCGTTTCAGCACCACCCACCGTGGCCCCAGGCACAGCCCAGACCAAAGCCATGGCCACCAGCCTCAGTCCCTGGAGCCTCCTCATCATCCTCTGCCTCACCCTCCCTGGCATCTTAGGAGAGTCCTTTAGAGTGACAGGTACTGTAGGCAAAACTGTGAGGGGAACAAGAGACAGACAGGGGAGGTGGGAGGAAGGGAAAGGAGAATTCCCAGAGCCCCACCCCTCCCCATGGCCGGGACCTTCTCATCCTGACATGAGACAGATGAATGAGACCTGGTGTAGCCTGTTGGCAGTGACCTGGGTAGCTCAACTTTGGGTTCTGATGGATTCTCACCATCAGGGCCAGAGGGAAAGGGAGGGGCCCATACCAAGGCTCAGGGCCTGTTGAGTTCAAGAGGGTTTAGACAATTCAGGCCTGTTTCAGAGCAGGTTTCTATTCGGGAAGGGTAGTGGTGTGTGGCCTGCAGGCAGCAGAAACTCAGGCACGGGCAGTCCGCACAATAGGAGAGGAGCAGCATGGCCACTTCACCTAGGATGTCAAGGGGAGGGGCGTCCCTGGAAGAGGCTAAGAAGAGAGAGACCTGGGGGAATTCCAGGACGAGGGGGCTGTGAGGGCCTTGGCCCACCCAGTTCCTCCCAGTTCCTAAGGCTGCATTCCCAGAGAAAGCAGCTTAAGTCCCAGCAGTTAAGGTGGAAGGTGAAGAGTAGAGCATGTCCAGGGTGAGGTTTAGGAAATGGCCAAGCCCCTTGGACCCATGGGATTCCTGGCCGGGCCCTGGGGTGATGCCCCTGCCATTCTGCCTCCTGCACACTCCAGATCCTGAGCCAGCTGATGGCCCTGCCTGGAGCAGAGTGGACTCAGGCAGGGGAGCTGAGCTGCTGCTAGAGGTCCATGGTTGCCACTGAGCTTGGCTGGGAATGAATGGGGCGGGGCAGGGGCAGCCCCATTCAGAGCTATGGGTGCAGCTCCCAGGGTGAGGAAAGGCTGAGAGCGAAGGGGAAAGAAGGAGGTTTGCCTGCAAGCCCACCCAAGGCCAGGGAACATGGATCCAGAGACCTCTCTTTGGAGAGAGCTCCCCCAGGTCCTCTAGACCCTTCTATGAGAGGATCAGGCCCTGAGTGAGGGTGCAGACCCCTCATTACCAGCCTCAGTTCTGAGCCCCTGAGGGCTGTAACAGGACCTGGGCTGGCTCTGTGGTGTGGTGAAGGAGGGAGGAGGTTGGGACAGGCTGCAGAGCCAGGAGTAGGGTTGGAGGGAAAAACATGTTCCTTATTTGGGGAAGAAGCTCCAAAATGGGGAGGGTCTGGGAGGGATCACCCAGGAGAACAGACACAGGTTTTTCTCAGCCACTTAAACCAACACTTCATCTTTCCCAAGGTGGAAGATGATACCAGGAAGCCTTTGTTAGCCTCATCTGGTTCCCGCTCTCCCTTCAGAGAAGGCACCTGTCTACTTACCACTGTGCCTTACTGGACAGCCAGGAGTTCAAGCCTTAGCAAGCCCACCGGCCCCCAGCAGATGATGTGGACATTGTAGACTCAACATCTCATGCCATTCATTACCTTTGCTGATGATCCTAGCAGCCATTTTTCTTAATATCTTCTGCCACTTTCTTTTGGTGCTAATGGATGGAATTCCTGTCCAAGTTTTAACTGAACAAGAAATCTCAGCAAAAAGCATTTTATTTCTACTTCTTTGTGGAAAAGCAGACACTTCTTTGAAGCATGACCTTATTCTTCTAAACAGTATTGCTAGTAAAATAGCATGGTGGACTTCAGGCCTCAGGGATCCTTTCCACGCACTGACCAAGAATCGTATTAATCCTTTTTATTGTTATGGTTTTTTTTTTTTTTTTAAATTTTCTCATCTGTCAACCATATTGGAGTGAAGGGGCATAGTCATCACTCACCGTAATCTCTAACTCCTGGGCTCAAGTGATCCTCTAGACTCAGCCTCTAGAATAGCTAGGACTACAGGCGCATGCCACCATGCCTAGCAATTGTTTTATTTTTAGGTAGAGATTGGGTCTTCCTACATTGCCCAGGCTGGTCTTCAACTCCTGGCCTCAAGCAGTCCTTTTATCTTTGCCTCTCAATTGCTCTGGGATTACAGACCTGAACCACAGTGTCTGTCTTAGAAATTTTTAGTATTTAATATGTAGTATTTAATATGAAAATGTATTACATTCATGATTATTTTATTTAGTAATTTATTAGACTGTACTTAAATAAAGATATCTATTTTCAAAGAACCTTATTGACTTTGGAATTTTGGTTTGTAACCCAGTAGAGAATTAATGGGATTTCATTCTTCTGCCATGTTATGTTTAGTAATACACCCAGGGATGTTGCTAGATATCTTTTGGAGACAGAGACTTTAAAGATCACTCTTAATTTATAAGCAGCCTGGCTGTCAGTCTTCACCACTGTCCTGATGCCCTGGGGGCCGGCAGGTATTCCTGCCTCTATCCCTGCTTCCAGAATGTGATGCTTTCTGGTTTGTCCCCAGCCCACTCCACGCTTGGCAGTGGCTTTTCTCATCATTCTTCAGCCCTGACCATGCTCACTTCTAGTAGAAGAAATCCTCACCACAGATACATTTCTGTTTTTAAAAGTAATGCTATTCCCCCATAGACAAAAAATCAGAAGCAGAATATATAAATAAAATGTACCTAATTCTTGGGCAAATGTTATGAGCAGTTCAGAGATGCTGAGCAAACCTGTGAAAGCTTTTATATATCTGACACAATCAAGAGAACAATGGTCTACCCCTGCACACCCTTCCTACTGACAAATGTTTTTAATCTTTCTCTACTAATTGGTGGATAGGAAATGAAATATCAGAGACTTCTTACATTGTGGGTAGGAATCCAGATTGAATCACTTCTTTGATGTCTACTAAGGCAGTATCCAGGATAGTGGACGCTGTGCTCATCCCACTAACCAGCAATCCCAGAGTCAGTTCCAGGCCCCAAACATGTTCCAGAGAGTATGGAGATACTAGACTGCTGACTGTGCTATTCACTGTCATAGCAAAAAAGTTGGCCGTGAAAAATTCCAGTACAGTACAGGATGCTTTTCAATGTTGATGAGAGATTTCTCTTTCACTCTACATTAGACTACAAAATCTGAACTAGCAAAAATGAAACCATCCAAATGCTGGATGAAAATGTTAAACTTTTCCAACATGTTAGTGAGGATTTCTCATTTACACATAATAAAAATAACCACCATCAATCCAGATCGCTTTCCATATTTCCAAAAATATGCAGATCAATCAATGGGACAAATAGCGCACCATAACGTATGTATTTAGGAAAATGAGGGAGTAGGAAATGCCCACATCCATCAGCTCCCTGGATAATTGCTGAACCCTGAGTGGCATCTGAGCATGAGATGGTCATAATGTCTGCAGTGAAATCTAATTTGGAGTTTGTACAGTGGTTATCTGGAGAGTGTCCTGGTTTGCAAGGAAACCATAGTAAAGTATGGGGCATGAGGTGGCATCTCTAAGATGGGGCATCAGCGTGACAGCTCACTCTCAAGTAGTGCAGGAAGAGAAGTTCTCCGTAATGTGCTTGCGACCACTCTGTTCATTCTGCTTGTTTCATTTTCTTTTTTTTTTTTTACTAGTTGAAAATAGAAATTGAAGAAAAACTTACTTTTCAGAAATTGATGTGAAGGAGTGAATACCTCCATAAATGCAGCAGATCTCCTCCTCCTCCTGCAAAGCCAGGGCCTCCAGGTGTTCCCCTCTCACCCTTTGTTCTCAGCCTCAGGCAGCTTCTCCTGCCCCCTTCTCCCCTGCAGGCAGCCCCCAGGCCCCTCTAGAGAATGAAGCAGCTCTACAGAATGAAGGCCCAGAGTCCCTTCATCAATTTCTAGATACATGACCTAATCCAGATGAGACTGAGATCTTTGAGGTGTTGGATTTCCATGGGCACAGGAGCTGAGGGGGGGTTCTCCTTCCATCTAGGGCTCACTTTACCACACAGCCATCGATGGTTGCCCAGGCCTGAGTCTGTGGCTGTATCCCCTCTCCATTCGGCTCACCCCTGCATGCACCTACAACTGAGGAATCCCCAGCACATCCTCTTCTCAGTCACCATGGAGGCATCTGGAACTGTGGGCAGAAGTAAGAGGGAGATAGGGGGCCCAGTGGCCCCTGGCTGCTGGGGATGGCATAGCCTGGGGTAAGGACTGGGCAGAGACCTTGAGTCCCACTCTGCCTCCAGCCACTCAGCCCTTTACCCATTAAATGAAAAAAAGATAGGCACAGACATCCCTCTCCACACAGTATTCACGTGGGGAGAACCTGTACCCGGTGACCTTCAATCCCCAGGGTCCTGAGGCTGTGGGAAAGGGGAGGAGGCCTGGGCCAACCCCAGGGCCTGTCTCTGCTTCAGGACAAGGGCATGGGATGGCACCCACCTCTGTGACTGTGCAGGGACACAAGAACCCAGAAGGTTCTGGCCTGATGCACTAAAGCCTCTATCCAGGAGAGGCCACATGGAGGGTGGTCTGGAGGACAACAGACACATGGGGATGGGCAGTTCTTACACACGGGAGGGGCAGAGCTTGGTGGGTCCCAGGATCTGTGTGTGAGAAGAGTCCCATGTACAGGGCTGGGGACAGGAGCGTAGGTTAGTTCTGAGAGGAGGCCACTGGGAAGGCCCTGGCAGCCCCACCCCTGAGGCTGGAAGACCTGGGTCAGTGACTGGGTGAACAGGAGGAAGGCAGAAGGCTGGCAGGACAGTCCTGGGCAGGACAGCCAGGTAACAGGAGGAGGGGCCTCTGTGCACACCTGGGCCCACCTGCCTCACTCCTGCTGTAGGCTCCTGGCCACCAGACTCAGGCCCACCCAAGCTGGGAATAGCAGCAGCCCAAAGGTGCTAATGGCTGTGATCTAGCAATCATGCACCTCCTCCAGCCACCAGGGGGACACAGTACACACCTATCAGGAATCCAGAATCTTTTTCAGACTCACAGAGAATGTTTTTTCTCTCCTTCATCAGGTGTACCTGACATGATTTAAGTGGTGGTTGGAGACTGAGCATGCAACTGAATGAATGAGACACTTGTAGGAGGGAATGGGGCTCAAAGGAAAACCCAGGTACAGAAGGGGAGCCGGAGTGGCTCCTGGAACTGATACATGAATTCAGTCAAGTTTCAGCATACAAAATCAATGTACACAATCAGTAGCATTCTTATACTCCAACAACATTCTAGCTGAGAGTGAAAGCAAGAACACAATCACATTTACAACAGCCACAAAGAAAATGAAGTACCTAGTAGTTCATCTACCCAAAGAGATGAAAGATCTTTATAAGAGAGCTACAAAATACTGCTAAAAAAAATCAGAGACAACACAAATGAATAGAAAATATATTTCATGCTCATTGGTTGGAAGAATCAATATAGCTAAAATGGCCATACTTCCCAAAACAATTTACAGATGAAAAGTTATCACTATCAAAATACCAATATTGGTTTTCACAGAATTAGAAAAATCTATTCTAAAATATATTTGGAACCAAAAAAAAAAAAGTTCAAACTCTCAAAACAATCCTAAGCAAAAAGGACAAAGCCAGAGGCATCACGTTACCAGACTTCAAAATATACTATAAGGCTACAGTGACCAACACAGACCTACACAGTTACAAAAATAGACGCTTAGATCAGTAGAACAAATTAGCCCAGAAATCAGCCTGCACACCTACCGCCATCTAATCTTCAACAGAAATGAGCAATGGAAGAAAGACTTCCTATTTAACAAACAGCGCTGGGCTAGAAGAGAGTAGGCGGGAGAGGGTGGGGTGACTCTGCGGGCAGAGCTCTCTGGCTTCTCTCTGCCTTCCGTGCAGGTTCTTGCTTCCTTCCTCCTTGGACATCAGAGTTCAAGTTATTTGGCCTTCGGGCTCTGGGGCTTGCATCAGCAGTTTCCGACTTCCGGGGTCTCTGGGACCTTTGGCAGGGGATAAAGGCTGCCCTGTGAGCTTCCCCGGTTTTGAAGCTTTCTGACTTGGACTGATCCCTGCTGGTTTGTCTCCTCCCAGTTTGCAGACGGTCTACCATTGGACTTTGCCTTGAAATCGTGTGCACCAATTTTCCCTAATAAACTCCCTTTCATATACATACACCTATATCCTATCGGGGCAGTCCCTCTGGAGAACTCTAACTGGGGCCGGGGGGTGGGGGACGGGTTGTCCCTGTGGCACCCTCTCCCTATTTTCGGAGTTGGAGTTTCTTCTGGTTCTCCTGCCACGTGCTTCTCCTTCCCTTTTCCCCGTCCTCTCTCTGAACCTACTTTTCCACACCTCTCGGGCTTTTCTCAGCCTCAGGACGCCCATCCTGGAAGAGACCCCAGTCCAGCCGAGGAACCAAGGGCCCTGTCCTCCAGGCGACGGGGTCGGGAAGGGGACGATTAGAAGCTCCTGACCCGACCCATGGACCCTCAGGACCAAATGGGTCACGGGCGCCGCCCACCAGCAGCCTCAAAGAAAGCAGGAGGGGGATCCGCGCGGGAACCGCGCTGTTGGAGCTCCAAGGACCCCAGCTGGAAGGTGACGTCTCCGCAGGAG